ATTTATATAGTCCACTACTTTCTCCCAAAACTTGGTAAGTATAGGACATTGTAGAAACATGCTTTAAAAAGTCCTAATTACATCTCCAGCAAAATGCTGTTTTTGACAATCCTTTTCGATACAGACATAGTAGAGTCCAATAAATTCTAAATATTATTTTTTGTTGTATAAGTCATAGTTTAAGGTCTATTGACTTGCTGTAGAAGTTAGACACTCTTCCATTGTCTAGGCAATATAGAAACCTCTAATTCTTTATTCCACTCATCCCTTAACATCAGCATATCAAATTGATTTATTGATAACAAATATCTATAAGAACTAATGGTTTGGGGTTTTTTTAGTTTTAAAGGATTGAACAAATTGTTCTAATATTTCAGGTGTCTCAGAAGCTGAAAATGCTGCTGGTCCAAACAATGTTGTTAACAAATATTTTAATTATTAATATTGCCATTAGGTTACATCTGATAGATGATATTTATCTCTTAAGACAGAGTATGTTAAAAATTCATCTTCATCTATCAGTTGGTCCAAAGTCAATATCCCTGCTTCCATCCAATTTTTCCATGTCACCATCTTCTTCCCAATTTTTAATGTTGGGTTTCACAATAAAGTCAATTTGGCATGGGAAAAAGGGTCAAATCTTTTTTTTATTAGACATTACGTTCCATAGCCTTCTAACTGACAAAATTGTTTCCAGAGATATTAGAGTTTTAGTATATTTCAATCCTAATATTGTCCATCCAACCAAAGGCATTATATGTGTATATCCCAAAGTTACCCAGATTTGAAAATTAACACCATGTTGGCTTCCAGTATTTAATACTTGTCAATAGGTAAGCATGATGATATAGCTCCAGATTTGGAAGACTGAATCCTCCCGCATTAACTGATAATTGCGTTTTCGGTAACGGTATTCTCTGAATTGAAGAACCCCACAGAAATTTTCTAAACAAAGAATTTATTTTCTGAAAATATTTTTCAGATAAAAAAACTGGAATTTAGAATCCAGTAATTTCTTTGCGTGATTGTTGTGAGCTGCCCAGAGTCATTTCTACAAGCTTAATAAATTAATGTTGGTTGCCAGTCAGCCAGATGTTTAGACTGGATTTGGCAGTTTTATCCACCTATCGAGTCCTTCCCAAGGACCTGGGATAGGCAGATGTTGTTTGATGGTATTAAAGGTATCGTCACAGCTGTTCTAAGTAAAGCTGCCTTTTGCAATTGACTGATAAATGATGATGATGATGATGGTTGGTTCCACAGTCAGCCAGATGTTTAGACTGGATTTGGCAGTTTTATCCACCTATCGAGTCCTTCCCAAGGACCTGGGATAGGCAGATGTTGTTTGATGGTATTAAAGGTATCGTCACAGCTGTTCTAAGTAAAGCTGCCTTTTGCAATTGACTGATAAATGATGATGATGATGATGATGATGATGATGATGATGATGGTTGGTTCCACAGTCAGCCAGATGTTTAGACTGGATTTGGCATTTTTATCCACTTATTGAGTCCTTATTATTATCCCACTATCTGGTAATCAGAGGAAAACTGCCTCTGTATGACAGTACAGGCCTTACTTAGAAACTGAACTGTTGTGAAAGCATTGTTGGAAGACCGATCACATCATCACCTCAGGACCCAGAAGGAAAGAGTCCTGCTTCCTTTCCTAAGGATGGTTCATTAGACAGCCTGAAGGAGGGAACAGAGGGTCCCAGGCTGGACTCTTCTCCGCTGAAAGTGTGGCTGGAGGCTGGACAGCCATCCATTGGGGATGTCAAGGGGTGTTGTGTCAAACACAGAGCAGTAGGTTGGGCTAGATGACTTTCAAGGTCCCTTCTAAGCCTTATACCAGTGTTTCTCAACCTTATCAATTCTGGGAGTTGAAGTCCACACTTCTTAAAGTTGACACGATTGAGAAACACTGCCTTATTCTGTTATGATTCTATCACTTCACCTGGGAAAAAAAACAAAAGTTGTCTTTAAAAAATCCTTCCACTAAATGACAAATACAACCCACTGTTTTATGCCCAGTTTTGCAAGATAGAGGGCTAAGCTACAAGAAGCATGATTTGACGTTCATTTATAGTATTGTAGAGCAGAAATGTGGCTGAGAACAATCCTCAAACGAACGCCAATAATACAACTCTGTCGTTTTAGTTGTTTGCAGGAATGAAAATAGAGTGTGGTTGCAAGGTTGATCGCGTAGGAGCATACGGTATAAGTAATTAATTGTTTTTGTAAAATATGTTACGGTCTCCAACGTGCGTGAATTCCCTACAGCAACTATACGAACGTGGTTCTGACTGTAAAAACGAACGGTATGGAAAGAGTTAATTTCGTCTATTCTCAAATCCGTACCTCTGTGGGAGAAACAAAATCTCAGTTCCCCGTAGCTAAGCGAATCAACTCGGAAGTTAAACAACAATTACAAGTCTATTTTTTATACATCCATGCTATGGAGAAATGATTAATTTCTACGCCGGACTCGCTTTGTCTCAAAACAAGCATACCCAGGATACATAGCGGAATTCAGATAGAGCTGAGTGACCAATTAGAAGAAACCTGAAGGTCACTTGGAAGGCGAGCTGACCAATCGGAAGCGAGTAAGAAGGCGTTGCCAGGAGATTTGAATTGGAGGTGGGAAAAGGCCGAACTGCGCAGTACGTCGGTAGGCGGTGGGGGCAGCGGGGGAGAGGGGACCAAGCGGTATTTCCCTGAAGATGGGGTGCCGGGTTCCCTTGGCAAGGGAGCGATCGAGCCTCCTGTGGGTCTGCTCCCCCTTGTAAGGGGACTGGTTACACGGGAGACGCTGTTCGCAGGGGGTCGTTGGGCAGGTCTATCAGAAGGCCTTTCTGGCTCCTGCGCCTTCCAACAGCCGTGAGAGCGAAGATGGCAAGACCCGGTGAAGTCTAGAGTTCGGTTGCCATTTTCCGATCCCGTCGGCCGCCGAGACCGTTCACGGAGTGCCTTCTGCGTACTCAGTTCTCGTTGAGAGCCAGAGTCGGTACCGAAACTAGCTGTTGTCATATGGGGAAAGAGGGGTGGCGGTGCGGAATAGCCAGCCTTCAAAAAGTAATTGGGGAATGGGCGTGCTTAAAATAACAGCGCTGAGTATCGTGTTTCAAGTGTGTCAGATACACCTATGTAATAAAGGGGTTGTGTGCTACTTATTAGACCTGAAAGATTAGGGATAGATAATCATGGAGAAAATCTGTCTATGTGATCGCTAGTAGTCGAAAACGACTTGATGGCATATAATCAAATGCTACTTATTATTGCCCAGGTTGACCACAAGTTCAAGGCTGATTTGAGAAAGAGCGGTAGTGTCTACTAAGATAGCCTTCCCCCTGCCTGGGTGCCCTCCAGTTGTGTTGCATTACAATCAGGCCTACAATCTGGAGGGCCAAATGTTGCGGCAGGCTGTTTATTTTACATTTGTAACTTTCCACTGTTAACAACAAAGTGTTACGAAGACAGATAATCTGATTATTGTATGCTCATTTTTTGGTTTGCTTCCCCTCCCCCCCCGTTGTACAGTGTGGTTTTTAATGTTTAGTCTTTATTCAGAGGCCTTATTAATCTGCTGCAGCAAAAAATAGGAAATCTTTAAATTGGGTCTCTGGTTTTTTACAGATGTTACAAGCAGATTAGGAAATTTCCATGGGGCAGCAACACTATTTTTTTTCCTATTTGCACCATTTTCCTGATGCTGCGGTTGCTATTTCCCTCAGTAGCAAAGGGTGAAACACATTAGGTTAAAAAACATTATGTTTATGGCGTCTCTACATTTTTTTTCTCCCTTAGCTTCTTACTTAATCTGTGGATTCAAAAAATTGGAATTATAATTTTCAGAATTGCTTATTTTGCATAACATGATGCTATTTTCCTAAGCTTTTAGATGTCTCGGAGCTGATTCTTATCTGCCCCTTAAGTCAAAATTGGGGAGGGTAATGGGAATTAGGGCCCTTAGGAAATAGCTTGGTGTACATGGCCTGAATCTTAAGGTGAATGTGAAGAACCTCCTTACTACAAAGCCATCAGAAGTGATTGCTCTTTTCAGAGAAGACAGCTCTTATTAAAGCCCACATTTATAATCTTGCAACAAATGAATGCATTGATTAGCCAGTACAATCAATCAATGAATGTCTTCTGCCCTTAATCCCTTGTGGCTGAGCTGAGTTGTAAATTTGTTGCCTTAGCAGCATTAAAGTGAGACAAATTTATTGTCCTTTCTCCTGTTCTGGGCTCTGAACTTCAAGAAGGTTGCTGAGACTTTGGAAAGAATTCTGAGAAAAGCTACATGGCTGAATAGAGCATGAATATTATTTATCCTTTCTATATTCTGAAGTGGAATTGCATTCATTCCTGAATAAGTAGATGGCATATATGTTTATGTTTTCTTTCTTTGCATGTATCGATTTGTGCTGAACTGTACTAAAGTTTCAATACTATTCTGATATCGTGTGCCCAGCTTGGAGAGACCTTTCAAGAGCTCTTCTCAGGCTTGATAAGGATATGAATCTGATGCTGCAAATATCAGCATGCTCCCATTTTGTCCCTGACACAGCACTCTGTAATGATGGTACTCATACCACCAGCCGAAGAAGGCAATGTAACAGTAGTGGTCCGAGTGCGGCCACAGACACCACGACAGCAAGAAGGAAACCGCCAAAGCACGGTGCAGGTGCTTAGTGACAGCATGCTAGTGTTTGACCCTGAAGAATCAAACCAGCTGGGCTTCCAACTTCATGAGTCTGTCTCCCGGAAGAAGGGCAAGAATATGATGTTTGTTTTTGACCAGGTGTTTGGGGAAAGCGCTACCCAAGCAGAAGTCTTTGAGTATACAACTAAAGAGATCCTGGATGGTGTGCTGAATGGCTGCAATTGTTCCGGTAAGGAATCTGGAAGTATTTTCCTGGCCTGGCAATATGGCAGCCACATTCCAAGTGATAGCATTGCCTGATGTAACAAATATAAGAAAAAGTAGAATAATCTTCTGCTGATGCTCATTGAACTAAATTTTAAGACTCCATTAATCATATCAGATTGGGCCACCCTGGTGTCCTGGCCTTGCTGCCTGGAAATGATGGAGATTTTAACCTAACACTGGCAGGATATAAATCTAATAAATAAAAATACAATGTCAGCTGGGTTTCAGTTTAATATTGAGAATATCAGCCAGTTCTACTTCCAGTCTTTTCTCAATACTGAGCAAAAGCTTGTAACTAACTCCCTTTCCTTTCCTGGAGGAGGTGTTAGCCAAAACGTCATAGACACAATGATGCTTTATTTCTTCCATCTCCAGCTAGATACTGAAAATTTGTACATTTGCTATATAATACAGTGAATGTTTCCTTAGGTATAAGCCACACTGTGGACTTACTCTTAGATAAATGTACGGTGTATTTTAACTGTAAGTTAAATTTTTCAACAGTCATTCACCTAATTACCTCAGATGACAAATAATTGCCTATAAATGGGTGGAGAGAAATTATCCATTACTGTTCAAACAAGAAAGTTTGTAAGAACATACTGTATATGAATAGTTATAATTTGTGCTTTTACAGGTCTGGGTTTTGACATCCTGTCTCTATGGCGTCTCAGTTTGACCTAGTAAATGCAGGTTTTGTGTGCGCGTGTGTGTGTGTGAGAGAGAGAGATTGGAATCTTGTGTTAGCACAATCATTAGGCTGGCCTCGTCAGAGGATATGGCATTGGGTTGTGTATTCTGAATGGCACTTATGTAGCACTATACTTCTATCCACACAATACTATTTTTTAAGTTGTGATGTACAGTAGTCAACATGGTTTGTGCTATAGGAAATAAACACTGTTAACCTAAGCAATTGAAAATTATTTGATTTGATATACAGTCAACAGTAAACAGACAATTAATTTTAAGGGCCATGACCCCTGAAAGCCCCCCTCCTTTTTTTTTCTAAAGCCGAATACTTCCACTCTTGGAATTATGTTCAACAATATTGCCAAATCCTCAGTGGTTGCTAGGAATTGAAAATGACTTGATGGCACATAATCAAAATCAGTATCACATTTCTTGAAGCACTAGATTCTTGGCATCTGACCATCTGTAGAGGAAAGCTTTGCTAAGCTGGGTGCAAAGTAAAGGTTGCTGAAAATAGGCTGAGTGGGAGAAAGAGGGATGCATGTGTGCTCTTTCAGGTATTTTGCTCTCAGGCCATGAATGGTTTTAGCCTGTCTTGATTCTCGGACATCTTAGGGTAATATGGTTCACATTTGGGAAATGTCTCTGCATTCCTTCTTTTCCAGTATTTGCATATGGTGCAACAGGAGCTGGTAAAACATACACCATGCTGGGATCAGAGAAGGAACCTGGCATCATGTACCTCACCATGAAGGAGCTGTATAAGAAAATAGAGGTTAGGAAGGAAGAGAAGCTGTGCGAGGTGTTCATCTCTTATCAAGAGGTATTGTTCATTGCTACTGTATTAATTTCTTACAATTTTTTAAATTTTCTATCTTAGAAAAATGGCACTGTTCATGCATTCCATAAACTGGTATTCTGGTTTAATAAGTCTGGATACGCACAAGTTGTATACATTGGCATACAACTACTGATCCAATGTGGGTTTTATTCAAAGATGTTGCTTTTACTTGGGAAATAGTCAATGGGTAGGTATGAGTGCAGCAGCACTGTTGTATCTGTGATGCTGGTGGTAACAGCTCAATGCTGGAAATGTCAAAGATACACAATTACTCAAAGAATGGGGGGTAGGATGTTATCATAGCATGCTAACCTATAGATATTTCCTGAAGATGCTGCAGACTTGCAGAATCAGTTTTTTCCTTCAGAGTTCATGCAATATAAAATGTGTATGATATCAGGGCAGTGAAAATACTTTACTTGCTATCTCTGCCACATTTTAACTGTTGTTTTTTTTTCTAGGACAGTTACTAGAATAATTTATTTTTATTTATTTATTTATATATCAAATTTGTCACCACCCATCTCGTTAAAAAACAACTCTGGGAGGTTTACAAAGCAGTTAAAAATCAATTAAAATTACAATATAAAATAATTTCATTTAAATGTATTTAAATTCATTTAAAATTATTTAATTGTATGAATTAGGATGATAAAACCTTTCATTTAAATTTTTAAATACCTACATACCATACCTATGAGGCGAAAGGCATACTTTTTATGGTACAAATCTACCACTGGGTAACATCAGAAAAAAGACCTTTTGTTTATGCAGAATGATTCACCTCCACCTTGCCCAATACAATTGATTCCTGAGAGCCGAGGGACCATAAGGAATAATATGGCATACAGCACAAAGGGCTACAATACGCAGGAGTGATTGGTGGAAACTAGGAGCTACTATTCTATATGAGTAGAAATTCTTCCACCGATGTGAAGGGAAATGCCTTTTTTCAAGAAGGGGCTCGCCCACTGAAATTTTTCTAAGTACATCAATTAAAAATTATGTATGTCTGTTAAATGTAACTGTCTGGCTATCTGGTGATCTCTTTCTAACCATCTGATCAAGTCATTGATTAGATTAATTAAACAGCTCTACTAGTTTCAGTCTTTGTGCTGTTCTATACTAAATGTAATTAACTCTGACAAGTGTGTAGCTTTTTTGTAGAGATTGCTCATGGAAAGGAGAGAGAGCCAGTTTTTGAAAACTGGCCTTCTTTATTGGTGTATACTCTTAATTCAGAGTCTAACATCTTTTTTCACCTCTCTGCAGAGTTAAAGCTATAATCATAAGCAAACCTATGTGTAAGTCCAGTTGAAGGATTGCATTCTAAACACATGTTAACATCGGAAGCAGTCAGTCAAAACCTATTAGGGCTCACAGCCTATTTAAGGAGAAGGTTGAGACAATAAAAATAAATTTGGCTGCCGGGCTAATAGACAAAATTTAGAATAGAATTCCATTATATAGGATGCCCATTGAAAACACTCCGTTCTGGATTTGCAGTGTTGACATATAAACAGAAATTTGTCAGAATATGGTCATTTGGGGAAGTTATACTGTTTCCTCAATAAGTATCAGCTCCAGATTTTTAGGTGCCTGTCTGGAGTAACATGAAAAAGATGTTTCATTTTCCTCAGTGCTCACATTGACTATTTAGATTCCTCAAACACCGATCACCTACCTTATTTTTCCTGGCTTTAAGAAGCATGATTGGCTAAAAGAGTAATTGGCAAGTTTCTGGTTCTTTGGAGCTAGAAGAGGTCATGCTCTTGGCCTCTACTGCAAATCTGAACTTCCAAGCTTCTAAGAGCACTCAGATTTTTTTTAAAAAATGAAGTAGGCTGACTCCTGATTTTTGCTTCTAGGTATACAATGAGCAGATTCATGATCTTTTGGAACCAAAGGGTCCACTAGCCATCCGGGAAGATCCAGAGAAAGGGGTCTTGGTGCAAGGTCTTTCAGTTCATCAGGTGAGTATGATAGTCAGCTTGCAAGGAGGACAATTCTGGATAGACTTAAAGGATGACTTACGGACTTCATGAGTGAATGGCTACCCTCAATTATTCATATAATATTTATATAGCTTCAGCCCTATATAAATTGCTATACAGGCCATAGTGATTTGGTGCTTGCTCGGAGAGTTTCATTCCACATTGACATAGGACTCAGGGAGATGTGGTAAAGAATGGTCATGAGAAGAGAGCTGGGTAGAATTGGATGGAAGTAGATAAGCAAAGGTGAAGAATGGAGGAAGATAAGCAAAACCGCCCAGAGTAACTTCCTCATGAGATGGGCAGTGTCCAAATTTGAAATATAAATAAATATATAAATACATAAAAACTTTGAAGAAGTGGTGAATAAGGATGGGCAGAGAAAAGGGAAGGAGTTAGGGGTGGACTTAATGTTAATTTCTGCATGGCTGACCAGAGAGGGCCAGCTCGGTGTTGCTATAATTTTTTACTGTGCTGCTTACATGCTTACTTACATGTGGAATTTGGTGCTGGGTAATAAAGTCAAAGGTCTAGTTACTGCAGATTTGATTTTTCTTAAGCCCTCATTGGTGAAGCTATTAAGTGTTCCCATGAGTAAATTTTTAATGCTCCTTATCCTTCCAAGTGACAAGTTGCAGCAGTATACAGCTTGCTATATAGCACACAACAAAATGGAATCAGAGCTACCCTGAACACTTGCCATGTGTTGGACACATAAGGAAGTCTGTCAGCTGCTTCCAGAAAAATCTGCATGTATCCTTCTGTAGTGGTAAAATAAGTAGGAAGCCTTTTCCTAGAGGTTGCAGCTGCAAAGCAGGTCTTACCAAATCTTTCTTCCCCTCTATCCCTTTAGCCAAAATCTGCTGTGCAGGTCCTAGAGATGCTGAGGCAAGGAAATCTGAACCGTACACAGCATCCCACAGACATTAATGCCACCTCTTCACGATCTCATGCAATCTTCCAGGTAAGTATGGCAGGGTTCATCAGAAATGCTTAACAGCTTCTTGTGAGACATTGTAATTAGGAAGAAAATATTTCTTCATGAGTATCATTAAACCATCAATCACATGTTTTCTCCTGCAAGAACATCATTACCATAAGATCTTCTGCCAGAGGCATCAAACTGGCTATTCTCAGAGGCATCAGACTGGCTATTGTTGGAAATAGAGTGCTGAATTAGATGGATTCTTAATCATGTACCTCTTCTCCCTTCCCTCTCTATTGAGAGGGAGGAGATTTATTTATTTTTTTATGTATACCCTTTGCGTATTTTATGCGGCTCGGTATTTGATTAGCCGAAGATAGGATAGTGAATATCTACTTACTTCTCAGCTAGTGACAAAGGTAACTGTTTTGATTGGTTGTGCTTGAAAATGATGGAGCATCTCTGAATTTTTTATAGTATCTTTGCCTTTCTGCTGAAGCAGAGGTGTGCATTTTTTAGAAATTGAGACTGTGGTGATCCGCTTCCTCTTTCCAGAAAGGTTGGCTTTAAAGTACAGAAATATGAGAAATACTTGTCACCTACCTAGTGTTTTTCTGTGAGAGTCTGATATTGGAGTGGCCCCTGAAAATAGCAAACCTAGAACAAACCACAAAATCCACAGTTAGGCAATATCTTTATTACTAGCAGTGAATAATGTCCATTACATAGAGAACAATTTTTCAAGTTCTGCAGAACTGAATGGTACAAAATGTATAAGAGAGTGAAGGAAAAAGGAAGGACAGATCAGAACAAAATTGAGGAAAGATGTTATAGCAATGCATTAGGTTAGTGATTCAACGCAATTTGAACAGACGGACCTCCCTTGAAGCATGTCTGCTATTTAGATAAGCCAGCACTCTGGTATCCATACCAAACTCTGCAATTCTTTGCAGATCTGTGTGAAGCAGCAAGATCGTGTGGTGGGCACACGTCAGGATCAGCTAGTGGCAAAGATGAGCCTGGTTGATTTGGCTGGCTCTGAACGTGCCTCTGCTGCCAACACTAAAGGAGAGCGACTCCGTGAGGGTGCCAACATCAACCGATCCCTACTGGCTCTCATCAACGTTATTAATGGCCTGGCAGATGCCAAGGTAAATTATCTCTTACACCTCAACTGCTGCTACTTTGTCTGACTGGATTTAAAGTATAGGGACTCTCTCCTGCTCTGTCTTTTTAGCTGTAAATTTACTACCTAATTATTCTCTCTCTCTCTCTCAGATCAGATCAAACCTTTATTACGGCCATAAAGCCAGCAGTCAAATACAAGTAAAATGGGTAAAAATGAAAATATCTAAGGCTAAAAAGAAAAAAAAACAAATGTACAAATTTTTAGACTCCGGGAGAAGCAGATGGTGCATAGAAGCACAGAATTGGAAAGATATATTGAAGCAATGATCTGACAGGAGAAGCAACCATTAGAAGAGATATAGACATTCTGTTGAACATCTTTTTTTTTCCAGAACAGTAAATACTTTACCAAATTAAAAGATAATGGAATAAGTACATCAATACATTTCAAATTAGCTTTTTCAATCTTTAAAACTTTTTTTTAAATAAAAACCTTATTTTCTGAACAGCAGCACAATATGACTTAGTGTGGAACTGTTGGGTGGGGACGACACAGAAAAACATCTATCTTGTTCTTGCACTGGGCCTGACATTAAACAGATGCAGCAAGTAGGGCTATCTGTAGGGAATAATCAAGATGGCGACTGTGGTGGTACGATTGAAGCTTTGCCTGTTTTTTATGCACGTTACACATATGATACCCATAAAAAACAAGTGGAACTCTGATCACAACATTGCAGCCATCATTTTGGTTTTTTTAACCATACCCTGCAATCACCTTTGGCAGCAAGAGATATAGAAAAAGCACATCTGCTTGCCATATGTCCTTCATATAGATATGCTTCCAATGTTTTCATCACTAAATTCACATTCCCCTGAATATATGTATAAATGTGCAATGGCTACATTCTTTGGGGAATGTATACAATCTGCTTTTATGAAATAATGTTACTAAGGTAACATCTGTAATCCTTGTGTAGTTACCTGTCATATAAATTGGTAAAAACAGGGCAAGAATCCTAAGCTTCAACCCTGGGAAACATTTGTCTCCTCCAGAATGGCATATCAGTCTTCTGAGGTAAACAGTGCTATGCATATTTCTTCAGGTATAGAGTCCATGTGTTCAGTGGTCCTTAATCCCAATAGGAATACATGGAGGGGTTCCATTTGTAATGGCAGAAGAATTATATGAGACAGTTGTTTCATTATAGAAACTAAATTATAAATTAATTATTTTATTGGTCCACAGAGTAAAAAACCCCACATTCCATACCGGGACAGCAAGCTAACACACCTCCTAAAGGATTCTATTGGTGGAAACTGTCGGACCATCATGATTGCAGCTATTAGTCCCTCCACGCTTTCCTACGAGGACACATACAACACCCTCAAGTATGCCAACCGGGCTAAAGAAATCAAACTTTTAGTAGGTACCAAAAATTGCATTTGTAGCTTAATGGACATGGCAGTTATTTTTTACTTTTGACTCTGGATGGATCTCTTACTCATGTTAATATGCCCTTTGGTGTATCTGCTTTGAGTTCTTGAACAACTCAGAGTAACTGAAATGTTGAACTTAAGGACCTCAAGTAATATTGGTTATTATTTCCCATAATACTACAGTTGTAGGCCAAAAAAAAAAAATGGATGTGTCTAAAGCATTTCCTCTCTGTAGCCACCAGTAATTCTGCTTCAGAAATCAGAAATTCCACTGGGCATTTCCTACACATTTTGAAGCTTTACTCTAGAATCATGAGGGCTAGAAACCTCTACTGTAAGGAATTAGGATTTACAATTTATACAGACTCCATAAAATACTTTATATCTTTCTAGAAATATATCACAATACAATGAACTAAATATGTCTAAATATATAGATGCAATTTCAGTAGATGTAATTTGACAAAAACTTCCATTAAGTCTTTGGGGTAAAATTAATGTAATTAAAATGAATATCACATTAGGATTAATGTATATTTTAAGAGGGATTCCAGTGTTAATTCCTATCAGGTATTTTACACAGATGGACAAACTAATGAAAAAATATTATGGTAGGCCAAAACTCAAATATCTTGGGAAAATTGAACTTGCTCTTTAGCTTTAACATACAAGATTTCCAACTTTACCATTGGGCTTTTGACATCTATATTCTTGTGGAATGAGAACTTTTTCTGAGTATTACCATTTTGGGGCCTATTTAGAAAGTAAGTTTGTAACCCCTCTGAAATCTTAGCAAGTTTTAGGGTCCAAGCATATTAAACAGGGATTTTATTTCCAGCCTTGAAACCTGCTCAACGTATTTGGTTCTTAAAGCAGTTAAATTTTGATCCGGAATCACATGAAAAATGAACATTTGGAACAGCCCAAATTTGAAGATAGCAGGGAAGATGTTCTGCTGGAATGCCTGGGCCAAACAAGGAATATATTCTTTAAATCAGTTGATTTATAATGGTTATTTTAAAGATTTTGAGAGATTGCGTTCTGATGATTTACCCATAAGATCCTCCTGATACCAAGGAATGGATTCAGGATATGTGTCTGTTACATGTTTTTGAAAAGCCTTTATGTTCTAAACATGAGAAGATGAAACAATATGTTTCTATATGGTTTAGATTTAATGTTAACCTTAAGTATGGAATTAATTCTATATTGATACTACATGGATCTTTTTTCTTTCTTTAGCTAATTTTTCCCTTTTTTCTTTTCTTTTTTTAAATTTTAATCCTCACCAATATATATTTATTCTTTTCTCACTATATAAGCACTACTGTATTTTTTTTCTCTTGGTGTTGTAGTTATTTGTATTCCACTCAGGCTAGAAACCTGTGTTTATAGATACGAAAGTAATGGCATTGGAGGCCTAGATTTTGTCCCAGTTTTCTGCCATTGTGCAATACAGACAGTTCTACATCACTGCTTTTCTTTTCTTCTCCCAAGAGAAATTACTGGATGAGGTCAAGGGTCTATCTGTTCTAACATTATTTTCAGTACTGCCCATCTTGATGTACCGAATATATGTATTGTGTATTGACAGAAATTGGTACTGTTACAGACTTCAGAATCTCAGCTTTCATATTTGGCTTAGTCCTCATGACTGATGATGGTATAAATATTTGACACTCTTTTTGTACCAAAAATGAGAGAAATTGAATTCCACTGGCATTTGGCAATCTTCCATTTTCTCAGATACATGTTGGACAAATTCTATGAGAATCTAATGAATCTTATTTCTCATGCATTTCTCATATTAAATAGGTTCTGGTTCTTTCCCCAGTACACCAGAATTCATTAGATCAACTCTGTCAACATAGGCTATTACAGTCTGGCATATTTGGCTACTGATATATTCACGGATCCCTACTATTCTACAATTTTTCTACTTTCTTGAAACTGTAGGTTGGGGTTCCAGTTTGTGAAACAGTAGTATCACTAGGTCTAAGCCTTCTTGCAATCCGCATGATAAACATTTTTTGCTTTCTGTTCTTTGTCCTGGTATATAGATAAAACCTAATGTGGTGAGCCTGAATCACTCTAGCAGCCAATATGCAGCTATTTGTGAGCAACTAACAGCAGAGGTAAGGTTCCCTTACATTATGTCTCAAACCAAAAATGTTTTCATTTGGGTGAGAAGCCAAGGAAGGGCAAGAATTCTATACAGTAGAATAGGATCCAGTATTCTGCTTGGTTTGGCTGACCCAATGCACATTTAAGACAATCTTGGCTGTTGATGCAACTGTCTGAAGTCCTGGGCATATTGACTGTTCGGAAAAATGTTCCCTGGTAATCCACACTTAGCATCTCCAGGCAGGGCTGAGAAAGATCCCTGTCTGCAAATCTTTTGGAGAACTGTTGCTAAGCAGCGTAGGGTGTACTATCCTAATAAGGCAAATGTTCCTTGCATTTTGAAGAAGCAAGGTACAGGATTCTGCTTATTGTGGGGCATGTTGGCAATGCAAGGTAGAGATGCAATCTTTCTGTCAAGGTAGAGTTCTGTAGTCAATATCAGCACAAGGCTATCTGGTCTGGTAGATTATTTGATGATTCTTGCTGGCCTCCAAGCTAATGGCTGAATTGCCAACTATCTTCCGCTCTCAGCTGGGCTTTGCTTAGGGGAGAGAAGGCACTGAGAACAAAGTTCCTGCACAAACTTATCACACAGGGCTATTTCAATCAGGGCAACGTGTTTGTAATATGGACACTGTTCTTTGACCTAGGGAATTCTAGCTGCACCCAAAATAAGCAAACTATTTTGTCCCTGTCAGGTGGCAGAATTAAGAGGGAGACTCCAAGCTTATGAAGAAAAAATCTCAGAACTTAAGCCCTCCCCTGCTCCGGCTCCTTGTAGTCCTGAGCAGATGGAGCTCTTCAGGTGGGTCTATTGCTTCTAAAGGGAGAAAAGGCAGCAGGTGGGCAATGTCTCAGTGGATGCTATCTCTTCTGTGTGAGTGAATGCCTTTTTTATGTCTTCTGAGTTCAAGCCAGGGCATTTGAATCATGCCTGGAATTGCCTTTTCTTATCTCCTCTTTCTCCCTCTTCCTTAAAACGAACCAAATATCCTATTCCAATTCAGGGACAGATCCTTACATTCCACCACTGCAATGAAAGCTATTTTAAAAAAATGTTCTCCATGATTCTAAGTGTTGTGAAATCTACTTTGAGAGAGAGATTGTTCAGATATTCAGTAGTTAATTACTTGGTTCTTTGGCATACAGAGAAAAGTACAAATAAACAGTTTAATACTGCCCAGGGTGGGAATAGAATGAGATAGAGAAGCAATAGTATATCTAAGAACCTGAAACTATGAAGGAAGAAATTTTAAGTTTGCATGTTGTTCTGCCATGTTATGTTCCAGAGGCCTTTGGCAAGCCATTGCCTCTTAGATTGTGCCCCATTTTTTCTATCTGCCCCATCTGCAATATGGGGATAATAATTTTGACTAACCCTACAGAGGTGTTTTCAGCACTTTGTGAAGATAGTGTGTAGGAAGTACTTTGAAAACTGAATTGCTGTAGAAATATTAAGCAATAAAATGTTATAACAGGATAATAGGAACCTTGTTTGATAGATTTGAGGGACACCCTCCCCCCATTACAATATCTATTGTTACACATTGTGTTAATAGATTTGGGTCCATATTTCATTAGCAAACCATCAGGCTGAACAAATTTGTGCCTTAAAGAAGGGAATAGGCAAATTGGATTGGCATGATTTTGATTCTGTTCAAGTTGGTACTAAATAATTCTTCATCCTTGCATTGGGCATAGGTCAAAAGAGACTGCTTTAGATTATGCAGAGTTCCAAAAGGATGATTGTACAGCCATGGCACCCTTGCAACTTTTAAAATGGAATTGTTCAAGAAAAAGCTGCACCAAGGAGGTAAGAGCACAAGAGACTGTGAGAGGAGTCTATGTCAGAGGTTGTCCTGTATATGGATAGTTTCTCTCAGGGTCTGTGTGAGTCACTTAGCATTAAATTTGTCTTTCATCTAAGCAGATTTCTGTGTGCCTAGTGTGTAACAATCCTGTGAACATTTCTAAGCTAACACCCAGCAATAATTGCTCCTTGCTTCCTCACCCTGAAGAGGTGAGAATTCAAGTTAATTCACATGGAAGGAAAATCTGGAATGCTGAGTTTGATTAGGTTTTCTGCATTTCTCAGGAAAGGAGAGACAGTGAGTGCCAATGAGAGGCAATAGCAATTGAGCTTATAGCATTCATCACAGTGAAGGTGTTTTGTTCATTGGCTAAGTTAGGCTATCAATTGTTTCAGTTGAGTGCAGTTGTTAAAGTCCTTGTTTCACAAACCTGCCTCTGCATATAGGTTGCCTCACAGAGTATTTAAGGAGTAAAATAAAATTGCTGTATTACAGTGAGTATGAATAATAGAGACCTGTAGGTAGAATGTGGCCATTTTGTTTAGCAGAAGGAAGTAGGATTTATCACAGTTTGGTCTCCTTGAGCTTATGTTCCCCAAGCTTATTTGTTTTTCCAGTTCTTTCCATCACTATTATTCCCTACCTCAAACCTGAGGTCATATGTGGCCCTTGACCTACTTTCAAAGTCCCTCTACAGAAAATCATTTTAGGCACCAGAGAAGAGGGATCTGCCCCTTCCTCGGTAGCCTGCTGGGCCAGGACAGGGAGAGAGAGTCAAGAGAGAGAAGAGAAGTGTGGCAAAAAGAAAAAGAAAAAGCTGGCTCTCTCCACTTCTCATTCTGATCCTGTCCAGGTGTCATTATCTACAAGATAATGTGGCCCTCAACAACAACAAATAACCCCAATTCTCTTCGAGATACGCTAGACTTGGTTCATTTGGGTTGTGTATTATTCAGCATCTTTTAGAAACCCAGCCACCATCTTAGCTGTTGAATGAACCAAGCTATTATGTTAAACCATTATGATTTATTTGTGCATAGCATATGATGTCAGCAGAACAATTGTATGCCGTTAAAGAAAATTCGGCCCATTTTGTGACCCCAATCACTGAATGAAGGTTTTTCTTGGCTTTCTGACTCTTACTTCTAACTTTTCCCCCATGACATAACTATGGTGGCAGTAAAACACATTTTAGGCTTTTTCATTGCCAGCACTACAAAGTTCTTCTTTTCTTCCCTTTCATAAAGATGTACTTTTTCCCAGCCAACTTGACTTATTTTCCTCACAAAACCTGTATTGCAATGTTTGTTAGCACCATTGATCCACAAATATTCCAAGCCAGTTCCTATGTGTGCTTGCCATCAGCCAGGCCTCTTTGGCATGCAGAGGCGTTTCTCACGTTAATGCTGGGGAAAGATAAAATTGGCAAAGATTTCTTGCATTCTTCATGAGTGCAAATGAAATAAGCCTTCTGCCTTTTTCTCAAGTTCTCTGTGCCCATCAGAAATCTCAGAAGAAGGTTGTGGTTCTTAATCTGAGATGTGTTTTGGAGAAGGTAAAAAAATAGAAGTTCATGGTTTTTTTTTTTTTTTTTTACCTTTTCTAAACTGCAAAACAGATAAGAAAGGAGGTATGCTGCTGGGTGATATTTTTTTGCCAGAGAGCTATGAGCATTCACTTTTGAAATGGCAAATGGATTTGTGGATGTCTGATCAGCATCTAGTGAGCTTTCCTTCCTCTTCAGTATTTAATAGACACTATATGTCTATTATACAGCAGCTCGGCCAATCGGTCTCTGAGAACTTGTAAATAACAGTTACAGTTCATATATAATATAGATCCTATAATCTTGTACCCTCCATTTTTTCTTGGATTAATTTAGTACTCAGGAAGAAAATCTGAATGCTGTTGCCCAAAGTTTTCAAATCTAATGAAGCATCAGGAAAAACTGAAAACTGAGTTGCAGGGCATGGACAAGCAACAGCTGGAAAGGTGAGTTGGCATCTTTCAGTTCAAAATGAAGGGTGAGCAACTCTTTTTTTTTTTAGCTTGCCATTTTATACATGCTAATACCTATATCGGAGTCAAATAAACATTGCAGATGTTCCCACATTTCCCAACCCTTGCTTTTTCCGGGGGC